GGCTAAGTTTACCAAGATCGAGCATAGAACTTGAGCAATATAGCAGTAGTAATGATGATACCGTCTGTATGTTAGGGACACTTGCTTTGTGTTAATATACCTTTCTAATTGGATGAAATCCGTTTGATGTATATACATTGAGCACCACGAGTGTTTCACGTAGGAAGTTGTAAATATTATTGTGTAATAAATATTTGTAGTTAATTTCACCTTTAACTAAGACTTCGTTTCAGTCTATACTATATGTATATAGATAGGTGTTATGTCTGTGTGGTTATTCGGCTTAAATAACATATCCCTAGACAGAGTGCCAAGAGGAGATCTCATACGAGAGACACTCCTCTCTAATAAGTCATAAGTCAGATCACCACACTCAGCAATTGTGCAAATTACAGAGGAATTACACTGCTGTCTGCACCAGGAAAGTTCTTCAACAGAATTATTTTGAATAGAATGAAAGACCAGGTTGATATGCAATTACGAGATCAACAGGCTGGCTTCTGCCAAAACAGATTTTGCAAAGATCAAATTGCAACACTAAGAATCTTTGTGGAACAGTCCATCGAATGGAACTCCCCCCTATATATATATTTTATAGACTATGAAAAGGCTTTTGACAGCCTGGACCGACAAACCTTGTGGAATATTTTTTGGCACTATGGAGTACCAGGAAAACTAGTCAGAATCATTCAGAGCTCTTATGATGAAATGACATGCAGGGTGGTCATCAAAGGTAGACTCACAGATGACTTTAAAGTGGAAACTGGAGTCAGAAAAGGATGACTCTTGTCCCCCTTCCTATTCATCCTCACCATTGACTGAATAATAAAAAAAACACAGGCAAAAAGAGGAATGGGATATAGCGGAGACTCTGGGAACAAATGAATGACCTAGAATTTGCAGATGACATTGCACTTCTGTCCCACAACCAGCAACAAATGCAGGAAAAGACAAAAGAAGTAGCCACCATTTCAGCACAGCTCTGACTCAATATAAATAAAAGCAAGACAAAGATCATAAAGGTAAACTCAGCCAACCAAGAGCATATCTCTCTGGCAGGAAAGGCACTAGAAGAAGTGGAGACCTTCACATATTTAGGCAGCACCATCGACAAAAATGGGGAATCCGAAGCAGGTGTAAGGGCTGGAATTGGAAAAGCTAGATCAGCATTTGTGCTATTAAAGAAAATATGGGAGTCGAAGGAGCTGAAGCTGAAGCTGCAAACCAAAGTCAGAATCTTTAACACAATTGTCAAAACAGTCCTACTATATGGAGCAGAAACTTGGAAAACAACAGTGAGCATTATGCAGAAAGTACAGACCTTCATAAACACATGTCTTAGAAAGATCCTGAACATCAAATGGCCAAATACCATCATCAACAAAGATCTACTAGAAAGGACATACCAGGTGCCCACTGATGAAGACATCATAAAGAAAAGATGGAAGTGGATAGGGCATACTCTCTGAAAACCCCCAGATAGGATCCCCAGATATTGCCTAACATGGAATCCATTGGGATAAAGAGAGGAGGGCCTAAAAATATATGGAGAAACGAGCTAGAGGCAGACACGCAAAATATGGGATATACCTGGAAGCAATTGGAAAGGAAAGCACAGGACTGTGATGAGTGGAAAATTCTTGTGGATGGCCTATGCCCCACATGGGTTAAAAAGGCATACGTAAGTAAAAAAGTTGATGCAGACTTTGCCAGCACAATTCAATGACTCATTACCTTTGTACCTAAGCTTCTACTTAACTTATTTAACAATTATTGTTAAATTAAAAACTTTGTTTTTTAGTAGAATTAGTAGTAGTAGTAGTAGTAATAGTAGTCAAAGAGGAGGGCTACGGCTATGTAGTAAAAATTAGTATTAGTATTTGTAGACAATAATTAGTATTAGTATTATTATTAGGATTGTCAATTATAATTATATAGGCATAGATAGATTTGTTTATGTGAATAAACTACATTCATAAATATAACATACTACACTATACTTATAGTTATAGCTAGCCCTTTAAAATGATGTATCATTCATGGCTCTCGGACAATATTTAAAATTTGTGTCAAAGTACCTAAATATACAGACGTGACATGACATAAACAAAATTAAAATAATTGTATATTTATAAATATAAATACAAGATTTCCTATTAGGAATGATAATGTCCTTACCTCCACTCCTTATCATTAATTAGTTGTGTGTAATTAAATTAGGCTTACACTTCGACGCGGCTTAGGACTTAGTTAAGTTAATTAAAAAATAAGTAGTTAAGTTAGTTCTAGTTAATAATTGTTGGCATAATCATAATGAATGATTGATAATGAATGATAAGAGTATTGGCAATACTCTTATTGGCATTGTCATTGTTGGTTGGATCACAATCACAGTATAAAGTAATTATTTTTTTTAATACACTAGTTATTTGTTATTGACTGATTGTTAATGTTATGTTTATTAATCCACTTGACTCTTTTAAAATTTAAAACTTAAGTCTTCTTAGGTAAGTAGTAAAATTATAATATAATAAGAAGTTATACTTATAGTTAAAGTTAAGTTAAACTAAAGTTTAGTAAAGTCTTACTCACAACACTCTTCTTGTCTTTTAATTTTAAATTTAAGTGGTCAAGACTCGAGTGTCTTAAACTCTTAAACTTAATAAATTATAAAGTAAGACTAAAGTGTAAGCCTTATCGCAGGGCAAATCGCTACGTTTTAAGTATTATTAATAATCATCATATTCACGTAGGCCTATAATGCAAACATATGCAGTAAGTAGGCCAAGTTTTGCACGAAATTCGGTAAAAAAAATTGCTATTTCAAATTTCCTTCGCCTTCTCCGTTTCAATGTACGCAACATTGATTCCAAGTTTTAATGAAATCGTATTATTTTTAATCTCTATTTCAAAAGAACAACAACACGTATTAAATCTAACCACATCAGAGAGTAGACTCGGGAGACTGAGCAGAGGATCTGCAAGTGATTACAATATTTTATGTAGACCATGGCAGATGTTACAAACGTATTTAAAGCCACAGTTAAAGCCATAAAATCTCGAAACAAAGCCTTTAATGAAAGCTACACAGAAGAATCAACATCTAATAATATCCTTGGACTTGGTAAAAAGCATGGTGGTAGCGATTTTGAAACCAAAGCGAAAATTTTGGTAAGTCAGTGTATGAGTTTATGTGACTCATTGTGGCTTCTTAAATAAGTCAGTACTGTCATTTCGTCAACTTTGCGACGTACTAAGGCCCAGGTAGGCCTAGCCTTCAACATGTATTAAAATTAATATGTCTACAGCTATACTTGCAGTCAGTTCGTCTTGGTAGTAATTAAGTTAAAGTGATTAAAGTAACGTACTGAGAGTGACTAAGACTACTGACACTGAATATGTGATTAAAGGATAAGAGGGTAAACCCTAAAACCAGGATAAGCGATACTGATTCCCCAATATTCAAATGTTGCACACTCTGCAAGGAAACCTGAATTTATCATCTGACTGCTGCCATGAAAAGCCAACCATCCCTAGAAAGTTACATCAAATCAACCAGTGAAACACTTTCTAGTGTCATTGTGTACTTTACTTAAACACTAATGTCAAAGATAGGACCAAAACAAATATAGACAATAAAGGCAGGGGGAAGTGTATGATAGCTGTCACGAGCTAAATAATGCTGCCATCCCGGCGAAAAACATATCTCACTCCACAGAAGCCAAGTCCATTAATGAGAGCCAAACGCTCACTGATTTCACCACTGACAACCCCATAAACAATTACAGCCAGAACAATAGCAAATGCTTCACTGTGCCTCGGTGTAACACAGTGCAGTATAAACAATCATTCTTCCCACACACAATAATCGCTTGAAACCACCTGGACAATGCCGCTGTGGACTCGACATCGGCCGAAAGCTTCAAGGCTGCCCTGGCATCTGCTAGGAGCTTTTAGAATAGCAACATCGCTTCCCCAATCGTTGCACAGATGCCAGTATATGGATGCAGCAACGAACACTACCAGAACCAGAGAGCCTGCATACAAAACTAGTTCTCTAGTGAATTGTTCTCTTATAGTCACATGCATTATTTTGCCCTCATTAAATATTCAGAACGTTAAAAGCTTAAACATGTTGTTGTTGCTTTTTTGCCATAAAAATTTCAAATAATATGAATTGTACAACTCAAAGTAATAACATAAATTTATCATCATTATAACTTCACTATCTATAATTTAATGTTAAAATTTGCAAATTGTGATATTTCTTGTTTAGAAATGCGCAGTTACCCTTTGTTTTTAAGTTTGATTAATATTAACATAATACAGCTTGTAAGTATTAGTTATTTCACATGACCCAAATTAAGACTCATCAATGTATTGATGCCTCTTTTAAGCTCATGAAATCTTATTACTTATGTGTTGAGTGCATAAACATGTATGTTTACGTTTTAAAGACACAAAAATAACTATTACATGAGAAATTATAACTTTTGAAGTATTTTTTCTCTCCAAAATTCATTGAATTTGTTTTTGTTTATTTTTAGTATCAGATTTCAAATAAAGCATCATTGACATAGCGAGAACATGTTGATTGTTTTGTACAAAGATAACAAATCTGTTCTCTGCAACAAATGTTTGGAGAATTCTGAGTGCTCATAACTTTTAATGCTGTAACCTTATTAGTTTGTTTCAAGCCTGATTTTAAAGAATTAAAATTAGATCTCATAACCAATGTTTCCTTTAAGCTGCGTAGCCGCGTAGCTATCTCACAGAAGCTGCGCAGCAGTTTTGAGTATACGCACAGAAAATTTTTATAAAAATATATTCGAACAGATACGCTGCACGCCGCAGCCGTAATTATAGAGTTCTTATAACATATACGTCTATGTTTTTAATTTGATTGAGATTTATATTTTTTTCTTCTACTTTTTACTTAGAACTATTGATTTACATACCTACCGATACATACCGGATCAAGCTAGTTTTTTTTTGCACTTAATTTCTTTTATGTAATTTCCGTGTATTTGTGGGTTGTAAAATTTTGCACACAACTATGATTTTGCCCATGAACCAGCAACCCTTAGAGGAAACATTACTCATAACTAGAATAGATCTTTAGATCTTTAAAGATCTATATTATCATGGAAAATTGAAAAGAAAAAAAAAGAAAATCACATTTTAATAGCAAGTGATGTTTATTTAATCTGGAAAACATGATCAAAAGACTAATTGAAGATGTCTTAATTCTAAATAAGCGGTTGTTGCTTTTTTTATTTTAATTTTTTTCCTACATTTTAATTTTAAAAATATCTCCTTCAAAACTTTTGTGTAACAATTCTACTAATACCAACAGAAAAAGCCCTTTTTATACTTTGGAGCCCTGATTTTAAGTTGGCTCAACTGAGTGTAGGGGCTTATGGAGAGTGAAGACTGCAGTAAACATTTTTAAGTGTTTCCATGTTTCTTGGTAGTGTGTGTTGTGGTTAGAATGCGACTGACAAAGGTATAAACTGATTAAAATATTCAGTTTTTACCCCAAAAAAAGTATGGCTAATGTTTCTTGTATAATTTTAAAAACAAAATTAAATATTTTGAAAGAGATCTAAATTCATACCAGTTTTAAGATATTGTCAGTTATGCACTGGAGTTTCAACTTTTTATTTGGCATAAATACTTTTATGCTTCACAGGTCCATATGATCACTAAATTAAGAGACTTCTTATTAGAAAACAGGAAAAATTATGTTAATGCTGGAAGGTTTGTAGATTTTATACAATTTTTTAATATACAAGATAATTTATTTTTAAAAAAAGAATACCAGTAGCTTCAATTAATTTTTAAAAATATATTCTGTCATTTCACTATTTCAAATGAGACTGCACATAAATTTGTAAATTTGATATAATTTCTAGATCTTGTGACCAAATTTATTGAAACAAAACTTAAAATTTATTGAAACAAAACTTAATTATAGACCTTTTTTTTTTTGGTTCTAGTTTACTGTCAAATAAAGGACAAGACATGTCTGAGTCAGAAAGAGATCAGATTGACAGCAATGCCCAAGAAATTATTAAAAAGTGTAAAGAAATGATAATTTTATTTAGAGTTGAAACTGATGGTCATAAAGCTCATCCACAAGTCAAGGAGCACCGAAATGCTGTGATGATTTTGATTGAAGCTTACCTTAAGAGTAGGTTATACTTTTGCACCTCCATTTTAATTTTCATGCTGATTGACATTCATGTTTTATTTCCTTTGGGACATTTTTTAAAAAACAAATATTTTTTAAGTGCTCTATTTAAAATGTCTTTCTACTTTGAAAATTGTTTGTGGTTATATTTTGTTAGTATCCGATAGCTCTAATCTGAAGATATATCACTTAAAATGTATTAAATACACTTTTGGAAGTATATATACATTTATTCAGATAAATATACAGATATATTAATGCATACATAAAAATTTTTAGGATATGGTATTCAAGTCATGTATCATTATTTTTTCTTTTCTTGGAAATAATTATATAATATTTATCTAATAATTATATCTACAGGTAGATATGATATATTTCATTTCATATAGAATATAATTTTTATATAAAAATTAGGATTTTATAGATATCTATCCACCTTTCAGCAATCTGTAAAATTTACAGTGAACAGAAGGCTGTGAGGGTTAAAAGAGTTGTTGATAGAAATAGAATGTAAGTAATATTAAAATTACATCCTAATTTTCTTTAAGTGCCTTATAAGATTTGATATATTACAATCAAGTACATTAGTCATTATTAGTATGACATTGCTATGATCAAATAAAGGACATTACACTGCAATTATTTTTTTTTATACCTCAGATCAAAACTTGAACCTGAAAGGAAGCATGGTAATTTGACCCGCAGTCAGCTAAAAAGAGACTTAAAAATAGATGGAAAGGAGGATAAAGTGTCATCAGGTATTTCATTTTAAATATTTAGTAGTTTAGTTCAGGGGTCTCCAAACTATTCAGCCTGAGGGCCGCATTAACTATAAAACGGCAGTTCGGGGGCCAACTACACACTCGAGGTCCAAATAAAAAAATAATCAAAACATGGATGTTGTTTTTATTTATTTATTTAATGTATTTTTTTATTCATTTATTATCAAAAACACATTGATTCACTTTACATGAACACCCGTATCAGGTATCAGTGGGAATGGTGAAATTGTTTCCAGGGTGCAAAACTAGCAGACATTTCTGGCTTTAGATTTCATGTCCCTATGATCAACACTGACCTGAGATTATCATCGAACAAGTTTGTTCTCAAATTGTTCTTCACCTATTTTATTCTTGAAAATGTTTGTTTACCAGGTCTTTTGTTCCAAAGATTGAAAGGTACCTTGATGCAAAAGTTTGACATTAGGAAAGTCTACCTGGGGCAAAAACTGGTAAAAACCCACCAGTCCGTCTTTGAACTTGTCCCTTAAGAGGTCATTTGCTTGCAACTCAATGACCTCCAGCTGCAGTTCATCTGGGCACATCTGCTTCAAATGGATTTTGAAATAGTCTCACCTCTTCTGCCTTTGAATCCAAGTAAAAAAAACGCTGCTGAAACTGCAGCTGGGGGTTTTTGATGATCTCGCATGCAAATGTTGTGCGGAACTCCGCTGTTGCTTCAGCCTTACACTGCTGAAAGTGCGTCAAGTTGTTGGCCTGTACTTGTTCAAAAAAAAAAACTGGTTTGGATCTGAAGGCCTTTAGGTGGGTGTATAGATCAGAAACTAGATTTTCCTCGTAGTTTTAGGTTCAGAAAATTTAAATGACTAGTTATGTCTGCCGCAAATACCAATTTCCATACCCACTCTTCATCAGACAGTAATGGCTGCGGCTTGCCTTTACTTTCCAGGAAGTCACCTATTTCCTTTCTTAACTTAAAAACTCTGCTCAGAACTTTCTCACAACTTAGACATCTTACTGCTGTGTAATATGGTAAATCTTGTGATTCTGTGTCTGTATCGTTCAACACATCTTTGAACTGTTTATGGTTGAGCCCATGTGACTTTATTAAAATCACCATCTTCACCACAGGATTCAGTACACAGCTAATGTCCACTCCACATATTTAGCACACAAAGCTTGCTGGTGAATAATACAGTGCAGGAACATTGGTTGTAGAATGTTTTTCTCATTACACATCTGCTTCACTTGTCCAACCAAGACTTTCTTTATGCCACTCACGTTCTTTCCTCCATCAACAGTCAGGCAACTGAGGTTAGTCCAGTCCAAATTATAATCAGCAAATGTTTTTTTCAACTCATTGAATATATCCTCTCCTGTAACAGTGCCATACATACTGTGTAGGGAAGCCAGCTCTTGTGTTATGTTCATGTATTCATTCACACCTCTAATGAACACAAGCATTTGAGAGGTGGAACAGCTGTCCAGCGATTCATCCATTGCAATTGAACAATAGTGAAACTTGCTTTAATTTATCATTATTTGTGTCACAATGTTTTCACTCATGTCTGCAACACGGCGGACAATGGTATTTGCACCCAAAGCTACATTTTCAAATTGTTTTGACTTTTCTGTGCAAAATTCCTCAACCACCACTAACAAACATTAATCCACCTTCTGTAAACAGTCTGCCACTTTTAGCCAGGACATAGGCAACTTTTTAACTGGCCTTATTTAAGGATTCATTTTCATTTGAGGATTTACTGAACAATGTCCTCTGAGATGTGAGTTGATTTTGTAATTTAGAAAATATTTCAGCACGGTATTTACCCTCTATGCATATTTATCCTGATGTTTGCTTTGATGATGCCGGCGTAGGTTGGATTCTTTCTTCACTGCGACGGTTTTGTTGCAAATCACACACAATGCTTTCTCTCCGGATTTGATGAAGAAGTATTTCAAACTCCATTCTTCTTGAACTCGCAGACACTCATCGTCTATTTTTCTTCTCCTCTTCTTGGCCATCGCTGGGCACTAAAATAAAGTGAATTCAACATGAATAAATAGTGAAACTGAAAGTATTTTGCACACAATATCGCTAAAAAAAACTGATTATGCAAACTAATTTCGTCGCAATTGTAGCAGCAAATGACCCGAAACAATTTTTTAAAATTCTTATGATTTCTTAAGTTAAATTTACCTGAATTTAGTGTGCAAATATATCCACTTATGATAGAGAGATTGTTGTTTTTAATGTTTCCTTTTCAGAATATTTGAAAAATTCTTACTAAACTAACGACATTCCCAATAATTTAAACACACTGTTAAGTAATTACGAGAAGTAAATTATCACTAAATAAAATAGAGTGCAACATGTTTCACAATCAGATGCTAACTGACACCATCACCTCCTCATCACAGCAGTCAACTGCAACTGGCAAACTCTGATCAAAATAATAAAGTCTTGAACAAGCAGCAAACCATTTAAAACTCCGCCACTAGATGGCGTTGTATCATCTCATTGTGAAGGGAAGTAGAAACACTAAGCAGTGAAAAAGGTTTTGCAATGTAGTGATCCGTTGGAAAACATAATGCACTACTGCGCGCCTCTATTTTAATTCGGTAAAAACATTACTCCTCGGGCTGTAGTTTGGAGACCCCTGGTTTAGTTTATCATCACCATTATTAAAATGTATATTTGTCTAAATGTTATTTAAACAGTTTGTTTCAGGGAAATTTGTAGGTGTACCTTGTTTTATGCAATCTCACTTGAAACATGCTTTAGTGCAAGGTTTCCCAACCTGTGGGGTTGCACCTTTTTGGGGGTGTTAGATGCCATTTCACGGGCTGTGAGATACAGTGATTATTAGAACATAAGAGCCATTGACCTTTTATATAGTATAGTAAAGGTTATGAAACACTGCCGCCATAGTGCATTTTTATGTGGAATTCCATAAATTAAACAAATGTATCTCCACCATCCTTTTTAATGATTCTGTCTAGAATATTTTAATTGTCTGAACTCTCATACCGAATCACCTTAGAATAATACTTTTATACATGAAACACTGTTCCAGAAAGATCTTAAATCACAATAAAAGTTATCATCTCATATATATTTCTATATTACAAGTTGTCAGACATCAATTCAAACCCCCATGGCCAGCTCTCTCCCTCTAGCGAGGGATTAGCATACTTAAAAAAAGTGTCCACTTCTTTTGTTTACTTCACTTGACACACATTTTAGCCTTATTCATACTCTGATTAAAGCAAAAATTCATCTAATTCCTTTGTAAATTATCTAGTCTTTCTATTATGCTTGTACCCAGTATGAAAATCACCTTGATTTGTGTCACTCCTTAACAAGACATTTTGCCATTGAATGTGTGTAGCTTGCATTGAACTGTATTGTCTCATAAAAAGTAACAAACCAAATCTCAGCCATGTAAAAATCAAACCCTTTAAATTTCATTTTGTGATGTGATTACCTCAGAAGAAGTTAGTTTCATGATGTAAAATATACCTGTATTTTATAGATTTCTTCAGTAAATCAAAATAAATAACTAAAAAGAAATTTCTTAATAAATATAGATGTGCATTCTTCAGAAAAAAGGCTTGTTGGTGATGTCCCAAAGGATCATTTATTTGAACATCATTCATATGAACCTGAGAGCGAGATTTCCTCAGAAGAAGCTCAAATGGTAAAAGGCAATATTTTTAACCAATGTTAAAATCTTTATAATATTAATTTAACATTATTTTCAAACTGTTATTTATTTTGTCAAAGATACACTTACCTAACAAGTAAAATCTAACAAAACTTTATTTCAGTTTGAAGAAGAAAACAAGATCCTGTATGAAGAAATGAACAGCATGGTTGAAGAAGTGAAGTATGTCATTTAAAAACTATAAATGTTGATTATTGATGTTAAATAATTTATACAATACTTGTTATTTTCAGGGATTTATTAACTATTATTGATTTTCATGTAAAATATTTTATGACAGTTTAACCAAAAAAATATGTTCTAAATTTCTTAACAGACAAATAGAAGGTCAAGTTGTGGAAATAGCTAAACTTCAAGAAATATTTACGGAAAAGATTTTAGAACAGGTAATAAAAAAAATTATTATTAAAGCTTAAAATATATTGTTATTTTACACAAATTGTTCGTGTCTAATTTATCTATTTTAAAGCTTTATCGAAGTCCAACACTTTTATAATTAGTTAATGAAAAATTTTTTACAATTTTATTATCAACCTTAGCTTGAAATTTTATTCATATTTCATGAAGATAGTTGATGAAGATAACACACTATGCCCATTTTTTTCATATGTACTCCATTAAAAATAATTTTTTTAATTAAATGTTTTAAATCTTAATTCTTATATTAACAGTGGTCTACTCAAAATTTTGTTGTCTTTTTTAAATATATGCTTATTTTGCATCTCATTATCCAAATGCTTTATTTTTATTATATATTTTTCCAACAAGATGTATTTTAATTGCAAGTGGTACATCTTTCATTTTTTCATTAGTCTAACTTTAATAAATTATTTTAAAAACTTGAATAATATAAAAATTACTTGATTAGTCTTTGTAGATAAGATTAAACATGCTGAACAAATATACAATTTCCCTTTTCAGGATGTTCAAATTAATACAATAGCAAATACAGTTGTCGGAACAACTGAGAATATTAAGGATGCCAATGAAGAAATTAGAGAGGTACTTCATTTATTATAAGTGCTAATAAGTTCAAGTTGGTGTCTTTGTTTTTAAACCTTATACTGGTACTACAAGATTTGCTGGTTATTAATATTAACTAAAAATATTTATTTATACAATTTTATGAGATAATTTTTTTTATCTGATAAATTATTTAATCTTTTCTTGTTTAAAATAACTATTATATAAAATATTGAGTCATTTTCTTATTTTAATAGTGTCCTATTATTCAATTTTCAGGCCATAAAGAAAAAGGCTGAATTCCGAGTGTACATCCTGTTTTTTCTGCTTGTTTGCTCTCTCTCTTTACTGTTTTTAGATTGGTATAATAATTAATATTAATTAACTTTAAAAATTATATTTGCTGTTGTTTCACATGAAAAATTTTTTTAGTTGCATTATTTTAAAAATCACTTGTGTTTAAAATCTTGACTTTTCTTATCAAGATGTAACACGTTGAGGAATATAGTGAGGCTAAGAAAAATAATAATTTTACAAAAATAGCAATTATTTAGAATATGAAAGGCTGAAATTTTCGGAAGTATAACTCCACTGAGTTTAGAATATATAAAAAATGTTGAATACATTTTGCACATAAAAATATGTTCAACACTGCCCTTGATTAAAATGATGTAATGGTTTTCAAAAATTTAAGACTTACTAATTCACTTCCCCCAAAGATCCCACTTTATTTCCTTTTTATTTTAAATATTCTTACCAAATGTTTTATTTAATCTGCCATAAAACTTGTTATTTATTAAAGGGCTAAAAGTTTAAAGTATCATAACATGAATCTTGGGGCCATAGAGGAGATAATTTTTAAAGGGGCTTAATAATAAGGGAAAGTAAGAATATTCATTTTTGAAATTTGCATTTAGAATTTTTTTCTTTTTTTTATAAATTTGCTGAACATTCAGAATGGTCTAAATCATGATAAGAAAATGAAATAATTTTTTTTTTAAATTTTATAAAAATGCATTTGATATCTATCCTGAATTAAAAGTCATATAATATATTAAATGACATATTCTATATTCAAAGACGTATTCTATAACTATAAGTCAACTTTCTTAGTCAATAAATTGGAAACAGATTATTACAGGTAAATTGTAAATAGTCAAAAATATCATGATATAGAATATAGCATAAGGTTTTCCTATTCAATGATTCCAGCATTACACCATTTTTATTTATTTTTTTTATTCTATTCTTTATTAAAAAATAATGTCTTTGCTCTAGTCATTCTAATACAAATATGGAAATTTAACCTAAAATAAAAATGTGTTGTTTTAAAATATTTTTTGTTAAGCACCTAAAACAGCTTGGTTGGGATATTAATCAATCTATTTATTAAATAAATAATTCAGAGTTAACTAAACTGGATCTACCCTATATTCACTAAAGTACAAGTTAAGAGCTCTACTTGTTAACTACACCCAGATATATTTGATTTTAGATATCATCTTCTACACCCAGATGTATTTGGTATTAATGTTAGTAATATTTGGAATGAGAGTTTACTGTGTAATCAATAGGAACAATAAATGTGTGCTGGTGCGCTTTCAAAAAAAAAAAAAATGTTGATAATTTAAGAAATTTCAATATACTACATACACAACTTATGTCCAAAGTTCTATCATATTTATAGTTTGACTAATAGTTATAAAGGTAGGAATAAATTGTATTTATTCCAGCAAAGTCCTACAGGAAAATATATGTGAGAAAATCCCATTCATACACCTGAGGTGCTATCAGGGGATGCAAGGAAGTGCGATTATAAAAACAAAAGAGCCAATGAGTTTTAAGTCAGGAAATAGATGGATACATATTATGTATATTTATTTTTTGTTTGTTATTTATTTATGAACATTTTACTTTATGCAGTAAATGCTTAATTTCCCTCAAAAGTTGTTCCTGTGTCTTTGTAATTCAATAAAATCCATTTTGTTTTAATAATGTATAATGTATTGTCATTTTTTAAGGGATGCAAAATTTGGTAGGTGGGGACCAGACTTAGTTAATGAATTGGTGGTTGGGGCCAGACTTAGTTAATGAATTGGTGGTTGGGGCCAGACTTAGTCAATGAATTGGAAAGTGTGGCCAGACTTAGTCAACGAATTGGGAAGTGTGGCCAGACTTAGTCAATGAATTGGGAAGTGTGGCCAGACTTAGTCAATGAATTTGTAGGAGAGGCCAGACTTAGTCAATGAATTGGAAGGTGGGGCCATGACTTAGTCAATGAATTGGAAGGTACTGCCAGACTCTGTCAATGAATTGGTAGATGGTGCCAGACTTAGTAAAAATATTGTGGGGTTGGGTAGTATAGAAAATCCTGGGAAACACTGCATTAAGTTATATCCACACTTCTCCATCAATGCCAAAATGTATATATAAACATAATGTGATAATATGGACATGGTATGGCAGCATGTAAGCCTACATGGTATGAAACTTGGCACATAGACTCGTTGCCGATGAAAACACATTTATCAAATATTCAGCCCCAATCCCCCTCAAATGAGTTTTTCAAGGGGAAGATGAAGGAAATATGATGCACTGATTTCACGAAATAAAATTCCCAATAAAAGCGCTAAATGAGATTTTTTTTTTTTTTTTTTTGTAAATGTATCGCAAGTGCGTTTGGTATGTAATAATAGAACTTTTTCTAAAATAGTTGGATGAAATAAATATGCTGTGTGAAAGCAAGCGGGTGGGACATTAGAATATTAATATAAAAAAAATAAAATTCACAATAAAAGCGCTAAATGAGATTTTTTTTTTTTTTTTTTTGTAAATGTATCGCAAGTGCGTTTGGTATGTAATAATAGAACTTTTTCTAAAATAGTTGGATGAAATAAATCTGCTGTGTGAAAGCAAGCGGGTGGGACATTAGAATATTAATATAAAATAATAAAAGCATCATTTGGGGGGGACAGGGGGGCATTTGCCCCCACCCCTTAATTTGCAGGTTTCATTTAAATTGTTATGTACTGTGGCGCCTCTAGTAAACTTAACAAGCCGACCAAGTTTTGGGTTTGCCTCCCTTCACCCCTGAAAAAAACATGAAATGACGCCCCTGATGGGTATAGACTATGGTAGCTGATTGATCATTTCATCTTGAGGCACTGATATACCAGACAAGTCAACATCATCCTCATCTAACCATTCAGCACTTAAAATAGAAGCATTGATGGTGTGAGCAATAATTGCCATAAGCTCTCTCTATCTCCTTGCAGCTACTCGCATTGGTCGAATCCTTTTTTTATTGAGGAGCATGTGCTAATTTCTTATGCTCAAGAGGGCATTGTCGGTTCTGTTGAACATGTTTTTTCAACATGACTTGTGATGCACAATAGATGTTACAGATTTTGCAAATCCGTTCAGGCAGTGATGTTATTATTGTTACTCGCCTTACATCTAATTCTCAAAATATTGTATTCCTACTCTGACTCTATCAATATCATTTATCTTGACTGCACATGTCACTTGAACCTTGTCCTTGTTCCATACCTGCAACAGAATCTACAGGTGAAGAGAGGCCAAATTTTGACTTCTTGCACTAACAAAGTGTGCTAACATTCTGACCAGCCATCTGCAGTGCACAGGCACACATTAAATCAATCTTATTTTGTTAAAAGCGTAAAAATTATATGACTATTTACACACTCATTTACACTTATATTTTTTTTTAAAATAATGTAATAACCAGTCCAATTTTTAAGATTAAAATTTTAATAGAGAAAACATGATTGTTGACGTCAACAAATCTAAACTCCCTCCCTCCCCCTTTGTCAACAACTCAACAACTGTCAAACATTTCCACCCCCTAACCCCCCCCCCCTATTTTATTGACGTAATTAATGGACGCTCCCAAATGTGTAATACTGTTTTAATGTTTATATGTCATCTTGATTTTTGCAATATTGAGTTAGATATAGTGTGGCCGTGGGGACACCAAAATCTTTATAGTTCTTGAACATCAAAAGGCCTTAATTCCGGCCCTGCCTGTAGTAGTACTAGTAGACGTCATGAAATCAAGCTCCAATTCATTTAATTTTGATGAACGATTGTTTCGGTCTCATGCTGAACCAGCTAGCCAGACTGTTGTTAATACCAAAAATAAACGTATGGACATTTTTGGAGTTTTGGGGATTTTTTAAAATTGGACAAAAAAAGGGAAAAAAGCAAAAACCTGATTAAGTTTCATTAAAAACATTTTAAAATCCCTTTTTAAAAAAAAAAAAAAAAAAAAAAAAAAAAGTGAAACTGTCGACAACATGCGACAGTGACAGTGGTATCAATATATGACTGGCCATAAGAAGAAACGACTAAAAGTATTATAACGAAATCTAGACTTTATCACACAAACATGCCCTTTTCTTGTCAAGTGTGTGATAGTGAACAATATGATGAAGAGGACGGATTGTTTTATTGTACAGAATGTGGTACTCAATCACAAGTAGGCCCCACCTGTCACTGTGTTATTGTGTTCATAAGTACTATAACTGTAGTTGTAGTGTAGTAGTGTAATAACAATATTTTTATTACCATCATGGCCATGGGGTCCACCTACCACTTAGAGGTCTGTGAAAGGTGTCAGGGGGTCCGTGAGCTGCATTTCTATTGTTATATTGCTATTTAATTTAATTAAATAATTCCTGAGTGGATCTTTCTTGTCCATTGGTCATTATTATTATCATATTAAGTTAGGCATCGTCCTGCCCTTTAGTCATGTATGCAGGAAATGCACACAAAAGAACTCTAGTTGATTAATGTTAATGCAATGAGTGATTGTTCTTTAAAGGATCTGGCAGTAATATTTGACTTGGAGCATCAAACATGGAATGGACAGTATTTTGACAAGAGCAATGTGGTTGCGCTGCCCCAGCTAGATGTAGTTATTTAGCAGCCACCCTCATCCATGAATTATCATTTTTCTGCATCAGGATAAACAAATTACCGTGGTAGCTGTTATGTCTAAAAGAATGGTCTTAAATACCTTTTTGAAGTTGGAGACATGTTTCTGGAGTGAAAATGTATCCTTTTTTTATGTAGAGCAAGAAATACAAATGAAAAAAAAAATGTCTTTTCCAGGAGCTTATTGTTCAAGAAGTTAATGATACTTGTACAGAAGTTGGTGTGCGATACGAAGTGAAATCGGCTAAAAAAAGTACATCGTCTGTCTACAGGCCCAGTAAGATTACATTCAAAAACATATTATAATAATATTATATAAATATTACTGAGACCTAATGTACCATATTTCATTATAAATTATTATATAAAACAAAAATATTTTAACTTTCTTATTTATCATTACCTTTCCAATAAAATATAATTTTTCAATTACCGTATCGTAGAAACACTTATTGATCTATTTATATTTTTCCCATCAAAGAGGCAGACCTGGGAAGACCGTGGATGATATATGAAGCTTATCAAATCATTATTCTGGCACAGGCAGATGCACTTATTAGTCTTGGAGCAAAGCAAGAACTCAAGGTTTAAATATTTATTTGTACTACAGTAGTTAAATTAGTGATCGGCAGTATATTCAGTTGAGATGTATTTTGTTTAATAAATGAGCTAGAAGCTGTGTACAAATCCACGTCACTATATTGTATGTAAAAACTGACGGACATAAAGCAACTCTTAATTGATGTCCATCACAATGTCATTATGACGTTGTTTTCAGTGGAGCAGCTTGAGCTTTGATTTGGCATACCCTAATTAATAAAAACCAAAATACAGATAAGATACACATAATAAATAATCTATAATATAAAGTATGTGAAGTGGACCGGAAAATGCCGCCCTGGGCAAACTGCCACCACCCTCTTCCTTCCTTCCTATTCCTTGCCAGAGCTTGCAAACATAGACTTTGAATTTTCCAGAAGCACTAGACAGTGAGTCAAACCGGAGGGCGTGAGTTCTTAAGATGGACTTTTCCAGATTTAAACTTCCATAGTGCTGTGTTGAGACATTTTGTCTTAATCATTGTGTTTTAATCATTGTGTATCAATCATTGTTTTAGTTATTTTGCCACCAACTATAAAGGTGTTGACTATTAAACTTTTCAAAAAGTTTTGTATGAAATATTTTTTAAAGGACACAGTTTTTACATTATGGGCCAACTATCTGTCCAGGCTTGGAATAGCTTTCTGCAAAGATGAACAACCTGTTGCTAACATTGTGAAAATGATGAGAGTGGGTAGACTCAGGTAAATAGAAATAAACTTTTAGCTTAAAATCATTCTCTAATGGTGACACCAAAATAATATGTTGAGATCCCTGTGACTTATATCAAATTGGCTGTCCCCCACTACTTATAATTTTTATAAATTGTTTCCACAAGGAAAGTGAAAAGAATCTAACATCTTTCCAGTATCAGTGTGAAGCACAACTTTGGTCTTGAACCCACTCTTATTCATCTTATCTCCATCATCCTTAAATGCACCTTTAAGTACTGCAGCTAAGGAGTGAATTTCCACTCCAGATCTGATGGCAAGCTGTTCAAATTTGCCTGCCTCCATGGAGTCCATGATAAGGCAAAGTCAGATTTAATCTCATCTATAGACTGTTTTACATGAGTGTGCACCCAGCTTCTACCTGAAATGTCTGAATTGCATTCTGCAACTTCAGTGGAATGAAAATTTTGCCCAACATAGTGTCCCATTCACTGCCAAATGTTTTGAATTCTCAATAAGTGAAGACTTTCCTGGCCTGACCATGTCAAGAAAACAGACAAGGATCAGCTGGCAGAGAAAGCTCAGCCAACTGGACAGCCAATTCTGCATTACAAAGATGCATATAGCCAAAATATGAAACTGGTCAGAGAGGGATGTGCTGAAAATGGTTCCAGCAAAGATATTAAACTGGTAGGAGTGGGTTGTGCTGGAGATGGTTGCAAGTACAAGGAGAGCCTTAAGTATCATCTTTGATTTTCACCTGCGGAAAGTGTAGCATACTGACACTACAGGATCGGACTCTTGAGCCCACTTGCTGAAAACTAATTTCACATCTCAAATAGCGTGCCTCATGCACTTTTCAAATATGTTCATCCATTTTTTCAAACATTTACCTTTTCTCTGTTGTTTGTTTGAACTCAGTTTTTGTTTTGCTCAAGTGCTTTAGTTTAAGGATTAGAATCTACTTCACAGAACCCTTTTAAGATGTATTGCTTCCACAAATCCACTACTTCTGGCTTTGTCACTGGCCTCTTAAAAAGATTTGACATCCCCTCCCTTAAAGACAGACGAGAGGGACTCCGCCTGATATTCTTATATAAAGTGGTCATGGGACTAGTACCGGCCATCCCAGCAGGCACGTACCTCACCCCACAGAAGCCGGGTCGATTGATCAGAGCCAAACGCTCACTGAACACTGACTTCACCACTGACAACCCCATAAACAATTACACCCGAAACAATAGCAAATGCTTCACTGTGCCTCGGTGTAACACAGTGCAGTATAAACAATCTTTCTTCCCACGCACAATAATAGCATGGAACCACCTGGACAATGCCGCTGTGAACTCGACATCAGTCGAAAGCTTCAAGGCTGCCCTGGCATCTGCTAGGAGTTGTTAGACTAGCAACATCATTCCCCCAACCGTTGCACAGATGCCAGTATATGGATGCAGAAACGAACACTGCCAGAACCAGAATCCCATGGGTAGAAAACTACTATTGTATATTTAACTTTGAAACAAATTGAAATGTAGTTTATTCATAAATATGTATTAAAAGATTGGTTTGTTAATTTGTATTTATTGAGGAGGGGATGTTTGCACACAAAAATATATTTTGTAATACTAATGTTTAATTCATCAAACATTTTCTACAATCAGGGAGCTCCATAGAGGCACATTTGAGAATCCCAGCAACAGGAAGAAAAGACCTTTTCATGAAGATTTGTCTGGATTGAAGGTCAACTGAAACAATTTTGAGTATAGTAGTGTATGATCTTTTTGAATATAATAGTACCAGATATATTATTTGCACTTTGTTATATTAGTGATGTTCTTTTAAATTAACATTCTTAATTGTTTTTTTCAAACTAGAGTGCAACAGATGAAGCTAAGAAAGTAGATTTTTATGAGGAAGATACTCCACTATTTGAAGGCAAAGAAAACATTGTGTTCATCAATGAAGATGATGACAGCAGGAATCACAAAGCAAGATACATTAAAGTAATCTGCCTGATAAAGCATACTTAATTATTTTTTGTTGTCCTCAAATACTCATTTCCCAACTTTCAATCAGTTAGTCATTTTAGAAGTTTAGCATTTCTGAGCAGCCTTTCTAAGACATACCGTTGTGTACCAGTAATGCCACTTTTGTGTACCAGTAATTCAGTAACCCCACTTTTGTGTCCTGTTAATACCACTTTTTTTTACCGGTAATACCACTTTTGTGTACTGTTGATACCACTTTTGTGTACCGGTAATAACACTTTCGTGTACCGGTATTAACACTTTTGTGTAATAATTCATATCAACATTTCTTCATCCTTCTCAGGCAGTTCAGTCGCCAGAATGGATGCATATAAAGAAAACAATCTCCTTGTGTTATATTGGTCTTATGTTTACTGATAAAGAAATCCTTCCTTTTGATCTTTTGAGGTAGGCCAACACCATGTACCAAGTACAGAAATGCAATATTATTTCAAATATTCAATTTATTGTTAATGTAGAAATATTTTCGAATTTATGTGGGAACGATAACAAATTTTCATATCATTATCATCGTATCCTTATCATCGTATAGTTGTTATGCTTTCTGACTTTCGATATCGTAAACGCTAAACTCATATTTCTACAGATGGGTTTATGAGAGCAAAGTTCCTTATCTTTCAACAACTCATCTTCTCCCTAATGACATGGTGCTCTCTGCTGGAGATCAAGCTTTATTTGAAACTGTGAGTCGTGAACATCTTTAAAGACTACATTAAACATTGAATTGTTTCATTGGCTTTTAAAAGAGGAGGCATGATGATTATGAAATATTAATTTTAAAAGAATATTCCAACTTTAATTTTGTTTTTTTTCTTCTTTACATATTATTGCTCTAGAATCAAATTGACACCAGCACATTCATAACAGAAATCAATAAACTCTTAGCCTACCTTGAATTGAAAAATATGCCCAGTCCAGATCTCAAAAGGCTTATTTCACGTTTTGTGAAGGAGTTACATTTACCTGGTATGTTATATGTCATATATTGTAATATTAAAATTTATATAAACATACTGTAGAGCATTTTATATAATCACTGTTATGTAGTTTTTAGTTTTTCTAATGTAGAAACATATTTTTGTGGCAAGCCATTTTGTATATCAGTGTCTATGAGGTCTCAACTTATTATGTTTATGTAGGTATTTCTGAAATTTACACCTAATTTTTATTTAAAAAATTGCTTTTGTAACTATTTTTAAAACACCGGCACTTGATATCTTCTAAAGAGTGGTCATATGAAATAATGTGATCAAAGTTGTGGAATTTACCCAAAAAAATATATTTTTGGCTCAAGGAACCTTGATCTTATAATTATCTAAATTTGTTCAATAATATTAATAAGAATGATAGATTGAAAAGAAAATCTGATCCATTCTGACTTTTTTATTTTCAGAGGAATTGGCATGCATCAGTTGCAGATTGGTCAACAAAATTCCATTCATAAAAAGAAGTCATTTAGTTTACTCAAAGAAAGAAGTGCTAGCCATGGGGTACATAATTCTTGCCGTCAAACTTGTGTTTGGGCTAAATGATGATTCAGAATGGTAATTGTGTTATTAATATTTTGATGGTTTCATGTCTTCTAGCTAGTTTCAACCTTGATCTTTTATAAACTTTTATATTTGTTACAAAATGATTAAGACAGAACTCGGTAGATCATTAAGAATAGGAAAACATTAAAATTAGTTTTTTTTAAATCCATTGCACTCATTTATTTTTAGCTACCCCATCCCCCTTCCTGTGTACAATTAAAAATGTGTGCCATCCCCTCCGACCTAGCTATTAATGGATTTGTGTGTATTTTGAGAGCTTAAATATAACTAAAACATTTTTTTTTAATTTCTTCTTCAAACATCTACCCCCTCCCACAAATCTCTTGTATGCAAATCTACTATTCAAACCACCACCATCCTTCCTCAGCACAAATTTAATGTACTTCATTACTCCTCAGAACTTAGTGTGGCTAAGTATTTATAAACCATTGAATAATGTTTTGTCTCTACATTTTATTTGGCCTTTAGGTTGGTTCCCGTACCACAAAATTAATCTCAACAGATATGAAAAAATATCTTTGAATGTCTGACATGGTTTTAATGGCAGAATTGCTTCATTTCAGGTCCTTATCAAAATACTCGAAACAAATTCAAGATCTTTTAAATCAAGGTACCAGTATATTATTAATCGTACTTTGCATATTGTTAAGTTCTAATCCAGGGGTGGCCAGCCAAAGGGCCACATCACGTTAAATACTGCATCCCACAGATGCCTGATTTATCACAAATAAACTTATCGTTCTTCAGTCAATTGGCAAAGAAATTGATTAAGAAGTGTGAGAAAAGATAAACAATTATCACATTAGTTTAGAATAGATAAAATATTCTATACAGCATTTTGGGGGGGTTAAATAATATAATTGTTTTTTTTAAAGAAATAATTTATTAAATATTTGAAAGTGAAAGGTTTACTCGCTATCAAAGTGGCCCTTGCAGCCTTTTGTGTTGAACACCATTGTTCTATCTATAAACATGACATAACTTTGTTATTTTGTATCTCTGTGATAACAATAAAATTTAAGCTTTAACTTAATATAACATTTCTATTTCAAATGCAGAAATAAAAATTTTTGTCTGGAGTGACTGGAAAAAGTTTATGATACGAAAATGCTCTAAGAACTTCAATGCTTACAGAGCATTAACCAGTGATGTGTGAGTATAGAGATACTTTGTGCATATAAATTTTAAATATACTGTAAACGGTAATAAATTATTGAACAAATAGTGTATCTTGTTCCTATTATTTAGTAGATAGTAAAACTATAAAAAAAGTTTCTATTGAAAACTGTTCTTATATCCACTATGTATTTGATTTCAGCAATAAATCTAAACTCTGCCACTTGGACCAGCTTCTTGCTTGTTATGCTGACACACAAATAGACAAGAAAAGACTAACAACATGGTCTACTTTAAATAGCAAACAACGCTTAGGTTTGTCTTTAAAAATTGATTGATGATAAAAATAATAAGTTTTTAAAATAAACAGCCTAAAGAGCAATTTGTTCTATCTGAAAAAATATGTGTTTTTTTTTCCTTTTTGAATATATTGTTTTGGTCATAGTAGTAATTTTATGATGAAGAATATTTCATTTTCCTGCAATGGATTTCTGAGATCTTGGTGGAGACTGAAATGTTCATGTGTATAAGTTTTAAAACATTTTAATTAAAAGTTTGACAAGTTTTAAAAAGCCATTTTTGGTCCTATTAATTTTAAATCTTATAATCATTTAACAGTAGAATACATGGACATCAGCTCTAAAAAAAAAAAGTTAAATTTACCTAACCGTTTTAAAGTCTATAAAGAAATTAGATCACATGAAAATCAATATGTCAATGATCTTTTTTTCTAGTCCATCGATTTGAAGCAGAGTTCAAAGATTCTTTAAGGAAACCTCTGGAAATTGCTTTATCAAGATTTGGTGCCTCACATAGCTTCACGGAAGGTTAGTGGAACATAATGTCTTAGTTCTTTTAATGTCCTGCTCTGGTTAAATAATCTATGGCATATTTGTTTTAAAGTGCTTTATTGACCTCCATAATTCACTTTACATAATTCTTACAAAATTTATTCTGTACACAGGACATGTCATGATAAAAGTAATGATCTTTTACTTCCATAAAAAACCCTCATATCTCATATGTTTACATTAGTAGTGGATAGTGTGGCTCTTCACTGGATGCAGAAAAAGAATAATGGTCAATCCCTCCTTTTTTAATTGACAGTGATATGTTACCATGATGCTAATTTTAGTTATCTGTTGGTTATTCATCATTGTTGATTAGCCTGGCTTGTTAGGTGAAAAGCATTTAATCTGAATTTGACGATTACTACTGTTATTCAAAATATGGGTCAAAATAATTTTCTCCGGTTCAGAAAGAAAAACAATACAAGTATTTGTAAAGTAAGGGAAACTATATAGGATAACCTCATTTGTGAAAATCAGAAGATTTTTTTCTCTGAAAAATTTTTGGAAAAATAGACATAATTATTCACGCAAAGTTTTTTATAATCAATATTATAACGGCTCTAATTTTGAGTCTAATATTCAGTTTCAGAGTCTCGTAACTTGGATGATGAACATATGCAGTTACATGAAGATTTTACTTGTGCAACAGTCGCTCACATAGTTAATGTAAATGAATTTAAAGATAAAATCGGGAAAATTGGTATGTTTTGCTAATAATAATTTTTATTCTTTTATAAGTAACTTAACTGGTAAGGCTAGAGACATTTAAAATTTGACAGCTGATTGGATGATGCCACGCCTAGTTGGCTGGTTTTTTCTGAATTTGGCGGTTAAAGTTTTGTAATATCTGCTCAAGGACACTGGACACATTCAAGAATTTATGTGTAAACTTTTTTTTTATCGCAAGATGTTATCAGAGTACATAAAGCTTTTGTTATATTTATGTAGACATATTTATTTTGCCTACGATATGATTTTGTTGCTTTTTTTCAGCTACAGATAAAGAAACTGAACTATACAAAATAATTGTGCAATATTCAACAGATAAGCCTGCGATAACTCAGTATGGTTATTTGACTAGAGAAGAAGATTTAGCTCATAATCGTCACTATAATTATTTATGGTTTCTACATGTTGCCAGTGAGAATATAGACTGTAAATTATTGGAACTGGATAAGCTGACAGTGAGATTAACTGACTACCTGGTCACTGCATCTAGTGGAGTTGATATGACAGGAGTTGTGTGCACATGGTTTGGAAATTTTCCAAACATTTATGAGAATCAACCTGAGACTAAAGATGCCTCTCAAGATTTGTTTGAATAAATATGTTGTGCAATTTTGTGTACATTACATTACAGCAATTAAAGATTAGAAATTATATGATTGTTTTGTGAGTTCAATTTTATTTTTTGTTACTTCTTATAACTAGTTCATGGCAAAAAAAATGTCTATGGCTTTTAGATTTATTTTAATTTAAAAATTTACAAATTAAAATAAAAGATGGCAATGAAGTAATACACAAAGTTAGAACTTTGTTGATATCAAATGCCATATAATTTAATGTAACTAAGCTAAAAATCACTGTTAATAATGTCAAGCTCTAAGCTTTAATTATGCAATGTGCGAAGATCTGGCCTGAGTCAAATGTTTCACTTGCAACCTATGAACTCCACTTAATTTCTTTGAGTAAGTTTGAGAAGATAAAAGTAATTTTCTAGAAATTACTGTCATTTCGCTTCTCATGGTCATGGCCATGGCTAAAAGTAAATTCACAATTACAAAACTGTTTAAAGATTTTGGACACAAAGCATAGATATTTCCGAGAAAGTATATTCAAGTGAGAAATATGAAAGTATAAGCATACATAGTTTTTCTCTCCCTGAATACCCGACACACGATGTGGCTTTTTCGGACCTTGCTTGTCACCTGTGGCATACCTTTATGAAATGTCACCCTGACGAAGTCCCAAAATGGCACACCCTCACCACGCATCCACACACACACATTTAATATATAATGTTGGTAATTGACATTAACTAAAACGCCACAGAGGAAGTCACGCCCCCCCCCCCCACGCTCACACACACACGACGGTAAAAACCTTAGATTCCGGTTTAAACCTTTAAAATTCTAGTAAGCCAAATAATAAAGGTAAGCCTAATAATAAAGGGTCTTAAAGCACTCGCACAGTGACATGACATATAAATTCAATAAGTTTTAGCGTGTCCCTCGTGTTAAACATGAATACAAACACATTTAATATATAATGTTGGTAATTGACATTAACTAAAACGCCCCAGAGGAAGTCACGCCCCCCCCCCCCACGCTCACACACACACGACGGTAAAAACCTTAGATTCCGGTTTAAACCTTTAAAATTCTAGTAAGCCTAATAATAAAGGTAAGCCTAATAATAAAGGGTCTTAAAGCACTCGCACAGTGACATGACATATAAATTCAATAAGTTTTAGCGTGTCCCTCGTGTTAAACAGGAATACAAGAACAAAGGGAAAACATTGGGGTAGCCCGCATTTGATTTGGTCCAAGCTTTCTAGGTTCTCTTGGCTTGTGGAAAATATTATTTGAATTGATGCTGTCGTGTAAATGAATGAATGTAAGCCAACGCTACATTTCGTAATTCCTTAAAATGGGAAGTAACACCTGATTAGTTGAGTTCTAGAATTCTCCAATCGGACCTTTGCATTCAATTATCGATTAATCGATCTACGCAACCGAGTTCTTTCATCGATCATAACATTTAGGCCTAGGTAAACAAACATTGAGACATAGACTAGAGGGGTTGAAAAAATTAAATCAAGTGCTCCAATCAGTTTGGTCATTTTTTCCTACATGTCATCGTTACTCAAATTTGGTGTAAAAACATTGGAATCATATTTAGGAGAAGACCATAAGAAACACAAGTCTAAAGGAAAATCTCATAAAAAGGTTTGCAAACTCAAACACAGTACACACATTAATTAGCGTACAGTGTAGTTTTCAGTTGTAGTAGGCTATAGCCTACATTTTAATCTTGCATTTTTCGTAGTTTAATTTGTGTTTTAGTATATGAGATTGTGATTAGCCAATTATATTTAATCATTATTATTCTGTTTAAATGTAACAAAATAAATTCCTATAGTTAAATGAAAATAATAATATATACGGTATTAAAATATTCTAATGATTATCTTTTACTATAAATTTTATTAACAAAGTTAAAGGGCGAAGATTTCATTGTCAGTTCTTTAGCCCTAAAAAACACATTTCTCTCACTTCCTTGGAGAAGGTAAACAAATGGCCCTTAAAATAATGTACCCAACATTGAATTTTTGTGTGTAAAATACATAATTCTAAATAAGTTATTCATTGGATATGTGGCTAGAGATGAAAATTGGTTTTCATTTTATTAGTGTTAAACCAATTATTAATTGAGTATTTCCTTTGACTTTTGAGGTACTTTGTCATATTTGTTTAGAATTTAAGGACTAAGGGCTAAGTTTTAAGTTTATGATTATGGGGGTCGTCCATTAATTACGTCAACAAAATAAGGGGTGAGGGGAGGGGGTTTGGAAATGTTTGACAGTTGTTGACAAGGGGGAGGGAGAAGGGTTTAGATCAGTTGACGTCAGCAATCATGTTTTCTCTATTAAAATTTTAATCTTAAAAATTGACTGGTTATTACATTATTTAAAAAAAATATAAGTGTAAATGAGTGTATAGTAAATTATATATTTTTTAGGCTTTTAACAATATAAGTAAGATTTATTTAATGTGTGTCTGTCTGTGCATTGCAGATGGCTGGTCAGAATGTTTGCGCACTTTTTTAGTGCAAGCGAAGTCAAAAGTTAAATGATGTTAATTATTAATAGAGTAGGAATACAATATTTTGAGAATTAGATTAGGGGAATGTAAAGTAAGTAACAATAATAACATTGCTGCTTGAACGGATTTACAAAATCTGTAACCTCTATTTTGCATCACAACTCATGTTGAAAAATTATGTTCAACAGCACCAACAATGCTCTCTTGAGCATAAGAAATTAGCACCTGCTCCTCAACAAAAAAAGGATTCGACCAATGCGAGTAGCTGCAAGGTGATAGAGAAAGCTTAGCTTATGGCAATTATTGCTCACACCGTCAATGCTTCTATTTTAAGTGCTGAATGGTTACATGATGATGATGTTGACTTTTCTGGTATATCAGTGCTGCAAGATGAAAATGATAAATCAGCTACCATAGTCTATGCCCATCAGGGGCGTCATTTCAGGTTTTTTCAGGGATGTGGGGGGGGGGGGGGGACCAAAGGTCAGCTTGTTATGTTGTTTATTGCTGGAGGGGCCACAGTACATAGCAATTTAAATAAAACCTGCAGATGCCCCCCTGCGCTACCCAGATGATGTCCGTGGCGCCCATTGTTGCGATAGCTCAAACCTGGCTACTCCTTGGGAAGATGATAGCAGCTAGAAACTATACTATAATAGTCAGCTTTACTGACAATAATCATATTTATACCATAAACAATGATATTTAGTCTTTAACAACCTTTCAATTGATTCTGCATTATAAAATTTGAGTGTAAACTTTTTAACTTGTTGATTAACAAGCTAAATATGTAATAACATGTTTTTCCTACAATTTTGTGTCATTAAAATAGATCAGCCTAAAGTAAAATGTATTTATAAATTCATTTATAATATAATTTCTTTTTTTTTTTTGAGGGGGGGGGTAGGAGGGGGGGGTGAAAATTGCTTAAAAATTGTTGACGTAATTAATGGATGACACATAACCATATTTTTTTATACATGAACTAAATAACTTAAACTGACAAAGACTGAGTGACTAACTTTACATTGACAATATTGAATATGTTTGTTATGACATTTCACTGCCAATATTCAATTTATAATATTATTATACTACACATGTAAATAAGTCGTCTAAAGTCACATTTCCCTTATTTTTTTTTTATAGAATATGCATATTTAATTTGTTAGGTATTATTAACATCATTGACATTTTGCACTGAAGTTGTGTAACTGATTATCACTGATTGTTTGGAAAAGGATTTTCTGATTGTTGAAAGAGGTGTATTCATTGTTGCAGCATTTTTAACAGGTGAAAAATCAATCAGCAATGCGATTTAAAATTTACATTGTGGAACATCAGTTCACAAAGTACACTAGAAAAAATAGCTTTGCTATACATGACTTACTGTTGGATTGAAATATACTGCAGGATCTCTCAAGCTCTTGTCATATCTAATAGTTCAACTCCCAACTCAATGTATATATATATATATATATATATATATATATATATATATATATATACATATCTTTTTACTCTTATTTTTTTTGTGTACTATGTATGATTTTGTGGTGTATATATTGTATATATCTATACTGTATTTTTTTTTTTTACTATAAATATAACTCTTGTCATATCTAATAGTTCAACTCTCAACTCAATGTATATATATATATATATATATATATATATATATATATATATATGCAGACCTGTTTACTCTTACGATTTTGGCGTACAATGTAAGATTTTGAGGTGTATAGATTGTATAGACCTATACTGTATGTTTATTTTTTACTATAAACATAGTGTATTGAACGATTTTGTGATGATATTGTACGATTGTAAGAGTTTGAGGGTAAACAGGTCTGCATATGTATACTCCTTTAATGACTCCCACACAACTTTGAACCAATGAGCTCACTCATCCTTGAGACATAGACTCTTATTCCATGTAATGAAAGTGAGTTCACTTAACCTATTTAATAATAATAATAATACATAGCCCACACATTGACCTTGACATATCATTAAATATAACTTGCTCTACTTTGAAAATTTAACAATAAAATATTAACTCACTCATGATTCTATGACCATGACACTGAAGAAAGTAATTGAAGTTGCAGTAAAACTTAGGATAATATTATTTAAAATATAGTTTTGAATTTATAGTTTGATAATGAATGCATGAGCATTACACATTTAGAATCTGTTGATTAAATTTCATGAACTGAAAATGGTCATAATTAGATTAGTCATTTCAATATCAATTTTTTTTTTGCCATTTTTAAAAAAAAATTTTTACTCTGTAATATTGTCGGCTTTTATAAAAAAATTGTTTAGGGCCATAATTTAAGATTGGCTGTAGATTTTTATTATTTTCAAGATAACCAGGTCATGTAAAAAAAAAAAATTTTTTTAAATTTTAAAAATGACATGATTTCAGATTTAGAATATTGATAAAGGTCAGTATGGATAATAGGGTCACTCAAAGAATGTACATTATGAAAAGATTTAAAATTTTGTCCTTACCCCAAAACCTTCAGATGTGGGGTTTTGTAAGAGCAAAGGCACTACTGCTATCACACACAAACAAAATTTAATTTTCAAATTTTAATGTTAGGATACAAAAAGAAGGATCAAGTTATTCTATATAGCTTTCCATTTTATTTTACCTTATGACAGTAGTTATTTATCAAAAAAGGGATAATGTTTATTATCAATTTTACCAATACATGTATTCTTGTAAGTGCTTAGTCAAAAGAAATAAGTGTCAGTACCATGCTTCTTATTATTACCTTTGCTAACAATCAACAGAAATAATTATTTCTAAATCAGGTTTAAGAGATATAGAGCTGTAGAGTTTTAAAGTTTATTTATAATAATTTTTTTTTTTCAACTATTAACCACAGGAAATGGCATACTACCAGACTGGAGGGTACCAGCCGTACCCTGCAAGTCAGCCATATCAGGGAGGACAACCCCCTCCGGGGCAATACCCACAACAAATCTATCAAGGTCCTCCACAACCTCAACCACAAGCATACCAAATGTACCATCAACCTAGTCAACACTATGGGAGTTACGGCACTTATTACACAAATAATGTTTTCAAAGTCAATGCTTGGGAGGTACCAATTACTATTACACCTTAAATATATTTTTTTGTATATATTCAATTTAGCGATTGATAAAAAGTAACATTATTTGGGTAAAACTAAAAGAAAAATAATAAAAAGATATGTTTTGAAAAATATATTACTGCTGTACTTATTAATTGATTGAATTTATGTCCTCGGCTCAAGTCCTTCATTTTTAAGGCTAAAACTAGGCACTTTTCGGATAATTAGATCTAATTTGTTTTTTTTTTTTAAATAATAAATAGCATTGATGTCACAAATCTCAATGAGAACTAATAAGTCCCTGATATGGCTAAGAGAATTCACTGAATGGCTTTTTTTTTTCACTTGTGAAATAATTTAATGAAGATGCCTTGTGTTCAAATTGTTTTATTTATGTGCTGAAAAAAAAAAATTTCCATTTGTTTGGATCAATAAAAGAATCTTATCTTATTAAAAAACAATAGTTCAGCTATGGAATTTCTCTCAACATTGTTTGATATTATTTATGCATAGTTGGAATGTATATAAACTTTGAAGCAATGAAATATGACTAATGAAAATGTTATCTATTAACTTTCTTATATCAGGCCTATCAGTTCAGGCAGCCAAGTGATCTTGAAATGGTTTTTGCACAGGAAATGCAGAAGAATCCAGAAAATGCTGTGAGTATATTAGCTAACTAAATCAACAAAACAAACATAAAACAAATGAATACAAATTCAAATGAAGTGTTTGTTTTTAAACAAACAGATAGCTTCATAATTTTTTTTTATGTATGTAAATTGGAGATACAATGATGTTTTAAATTTAAATTTTATTATTTTTAAGAGTGCTTACATCAAATAGCTATGTTGAAAAAAATATTATTAATGGTCCGTAAATAGTGATAAAAAAATAAAAGCTACAGAGCTAAACATTTATTTATGAATTGTTTAGCTAGCTAAACATTTATTTATGAATTGTTTAGCTAGCTAAACATTTATTTATGAATTGTTTAGCTAGCTAAACATTTATTTATGAATTGTTTAGCTAGCTAAACATTTATTTATGAATTGTTTAGCTAGCTAAACATTTATTTATGAATTGTTTAGCTAGCTAAACATTTATTTATGAATTGTTTCGCTTAATTTCAAAAAATTCTTGAGATTTACAAATAAAAATTCCAAAATCTGTCTTGTGGTGCTTATCAAAATTCTAACATATATGTAGATTATAAAATACTGATAGATATCCACATTTTGTGCTGCAGATGAGAAATGCTATTCAAGCAGAAGATTTAATGAATGTTTTGAACAACACACCAAGCATTCGGAACTTTTTTAGAAGTGAGTAATTCATCAAAATTTGTTACAAGTGAATATTTCAATAGTTTGCTGCAGGCACATTACCAACTTGAATTTTTTATCTTAATTTTTTCTTCTAGTTAAATATTTACCAAATTGTTTTTAAATTGTTTACGGCACAATAATATATACTTACTTTTTATCACTTCAAATTTCAGTTAATTGGAGCAGAGAAATGTGTAGGTAAGAATTAACAATATGTGTAGAAAATTAATGTTTAACTTTTTATTTTAATTTTTTAACGAGATGGTAACGTTTAATTAAAATTCAAAGATTTATGAATAAACCAACAAGCTTTAATTACTTTTTTAAATAAAAGTTTTTTACTTTCTCCACAGTATAATGATTGCAATGTTGGATGTATCCTTTACTTTCATTGTATAAGGGGAAAATGCAACTGCTTCTTTTACAATTAATTATTGGAAATATTATCTTCGCATAAAAATGTCTTTAAAATATTGGAAAGTTACTTGAATTAAGAATAATAGCAAATCAGACAGTGTCTCAGTTTCTTTGCTATTAAGCTCGCAATGCCTAAAACACATATTTGTGAAAAGAAATAATTTAATAAATCTAAAATATTTTGAAAAACTATCTTAAATATTTAAACACTAAACTCACTCTAATCAAACTAACTGAATGATCTCAATTGCTAAAATTAGTAACAATATTCAGTTTGACCAATCTGAAATAAGTAGATATTGATGCTTGTTTAAACCAAAATTTAAGTTTTCATTAGTTTCCACTAATTGAACAGTCAACAAATGTAACTTCTTTAAAATGGATCAGCGTTCCCAAGATGGTTTCATGCAGTGGAATGAGTTCTTAGAATTACAGCAGTGTCTTGTGGCTTGGTATAAAGTTTTCTGTCAGCATGATGTTGATCGATCTGGTTTCATTGATGCAGCTGAACTCATTCGTGTTATTCGACAATTGTTTGGTGAGATTCAAAATGAAAGAAGCAAACAACAAAAAATGTATTGAAAATTATTTCTAATGTCTGCTTTTGATTTTTAAAACATCTAAAATATATGCTACATCAAATTTATTTTGGCTTCAAAATACATTAATTTTATCCTAAAATTCAATTTCTTATTTTTATCATCAAATATATTTTAAGAGTAATTTTTTTTAAAAATTGACATAATAATCAATTGAAAGCTACATTTTAATTAATTTTAGGCATTATATTAAGAAAATTCTGTTTATATGGTTTTAAATTGTTAATAAAATAAATAATAATGTGTTTTCTTTAAAGGATACCAAATTCAACCAGAGACACTGGAAACTATTTTAAAGAGGTACTCACGTGTTGTTCCTCCTCGAAGTAGATGCATCATAGCATTTGATGACTTTGTTGCTCTTTCTGTGAGACTACGAGCATATACAGGTAGGTAGGATTTAGATTTGGAATTTTGACACAAATATTTAATCACTTAAGAGGAATGCATATATATTTTTTAAAATTATTATCTTTTTAACACAAATAAACGCTTAAATATTTCATTCATTCCTTGAGTGCAGATGCTTTTAGAAGGAGAGACAGCCTAATGCACGGAGGTCATGAGACAGGAAACTGCACATTAGGATATGATGATGTAAGTTGTCATGACACATATTTCTTAAATTTATTGTTAAGTGGAAAATAATTTTTGTTTGGATAACATTAATTACACCTGTAAAACAAAATTTTAAACTCTTTATTTACAGTTCTTGAGATGTGTCTTGTGTCTTTAAGTTCTGCAATCAATGAAGGCATAAGATGTACAGAAATAAGAGACATAGACATTAGGTTTATTTGGATCAAAATAATTACTATGCAGAAATAATGTTAGAATATGGGCACATTTGCAAATTAATAAAATTATTATTTTAAATTGTTATTAACATTGAAGCCATGCATTCCCCCCATTTTTGCTCAGAGTTTGCTTTTGGTATACCTACAGTCCTTTTTAATATAGAGTAAAAAGGTTTTTCTTGATTATGCAGGCCCTAAAGTTTTCAAATATGGCTATATTTTACTACATGTTTATGTAATTACAAAATTGCTAGCACAAACTTATAAAATGTGGATAGAATTTGTGTATTTTTTATGCTGTCATTCTTTTTAAATTCTTTTTTATTTTGTTCATGTAAAAAAAAAATATTTTATATACCATTAAAAATAGGGGAAGCTGTTTTTTTAGAATGATAAATGGTTTTTACAACTTATCTTATAAAAGAAATGCAATGTTCCAGGGCCGGCCCGACAGTTGCTGGCGTCCTGTGCAAGCTTAACTTTGGCGCCCCTTATAATAAGTTTAATTATTAAAGTTAAAGAACAAAACTAGTTAGTCGGTAATGAGTCTATACCTATGTTTTTGTTTGTTTTAAAAAAACAACAACATAGGTAATAAGCTCATTACCGAATAAATATTTTTTTCCTTTAATGATTATACTTATAAGGGGTGCCAAAGTTGAGCCTTTGGTAAACTTTCGCCCTGTGCGAAGCACCTGTTCGGCGCCCTCTTCACTGTCCCTGTATCCAAATTAAGAATGCAACTTTCATTGTAAGAAAACTCATTGTATGAAAAGCGATTGTACGAAAGGTTAGAATACTGTTTCTCGACCACGGACCCGAGGTTCACACTTCACTATAATAAACTAAGGGAATTGAAATATTTACTGGGCGCCCCGGGCGCCCCTATGGCCATGGCACCCTGTGCGAGGGCACAGGTCGCACACCCTAAAGGCCAGCCCTGAATGTTAATTTTCTTAAAACTTTTCATAAACATGCATAAACCATTACTTCACATAATATTGTTCAGTTTCAGTGGATGCAATAGCTGCTGCTGATAGTTTTTCAGGTGCCTTTTTTTTTTAGTTATAAATAACCTTGCTCTCAACATAGAGGTTATTTGCAGACAATTCAAATTCCTTGTTTTAGCTTTGCTTTAAATAATGAATAGAATATTTTTGCTAGTATTTTCAACAGCGAGAAGAAAAGTTTAACAAGTTACATTTATCATATACCAGTAAGTAGTTTGTTAAGTAATCATATAAGCAGTTTGTTAAATGTGATCAATCTTAAAAAGAATTGTTTAAAGAAATTAAGATACAGTCATAATGCACTTTTGACCAAGCTGAAATATATTTTTCAGTTGATGTTAGTGTTGACAAATTTATAAAATGTGTTGGATATGCCCTTGTAAAATTATAAATTTCACCTTGAAATAGTGACACAGGAAAGACATCTGCAGCAGACCATGGATAATGATATAAAAAAAAAAATATTTTATACAAGTTTTAAGAAAAATAAAAGTCCTTTGGCCCAGAAAGAGGAGAAGAATTTTGAACAACATTTGCAAAGGCAAATGTGTCACTGAGAGACATTAGTACTTAACTGACATAAATAGCATTTTACTTTTCTGCACTATTCGTCGGTTCTTTTAAATAGCCTTATAAAAAAAATTTTAAATATCTGTTTTAGTACATTTATTTTGGTATTTACAACAGTGTCCTTGTGTTGATTTTTTTAGCCCACCTTTTGTATATTTATATTCTTCAACATTTGTATATATAATTATAAAGTGTGAGAAAGAAACATAAAATTTTGAATGAAATATTTCCATAGATGAGACTTAACTTGGTATCCAACATGTACCAGTAATACAAGGCAGTTCGCATGTTAGGTTAATATTAATATGTACCTGTGGTTTGAAGCAGTCTTAACTGATTAGCTACCAGACTGAAAAATCCGCCGTGGCCAAATTAAATCTAGGTCACGTTCATCATTATGATACAAGCCATGGCGCTACCAGCAGCTCCTGGCCATAACAAAAGAAATGCCCAGCCGGTCCCACCGGCTCATGGTAGTTTAACAGTTAACCTATCATGTGCTAAGGAATATCTATCTTGTATTTAGATCTAGAATTACTACATACTTTCTGGAAGCTTCTGTCTTCAGCCTCATGATATAAGAAGAGCAACTTTTTATATTGATTCGAATCATTTAAGGAATGAAACATTCTTAAAGACAATGACAGTAGGTGTTACCTGTTAATACAGTAATTTAATGGATTCCTACTCTAGAAGAAATTTTCAGATACAAATATCCTAATGCTTTATTAAGATAAATACTAAAATGACCTTCGATAAGCATTTTCTGCTGTATACGTCCCCGTTTAAAAAAAACAGATTAGCAAAAAAGTTTTTCTAATTTCGGTTTAATTGCAGGTTGTTATCAGCAACCATAATGTTGCATAAAAGTATGATGTCTTATTAATGAATGACTTGGAAGAGTGGACAAGATTTTAAAACAACTCAGTCAGAGTAACAGGCAAACAAAAACAAAACATAAACTAAAGATCACTACAATTGTTTATTTTGACCGGGTTATTTACACCAAATAGTGTGTATTATCAAATCTCAAGCCAGCACAGATGTTTATTCAAGTTAGGGTCTTGTTTTTTTAATAAACAAAAAAAGTTAAAGATTGACATTTTCTGTAAAGGTAGAGGAATAAATGAACCAATCCAAGTGGTATGGGCACAATATACAAGAACATGATATTCAATGGCATTTGGTTCTTAAAGTAGATGGAATAATTCTCAGATTTATTCATCACTATCATATTTTCTATAAGTTAAATTAATTTTAAAAACAATATTTTGTAACAATATTTCCAAAAAAGAATTTATACCATGTTTGAATTTAATAATTTCATTTCCAAACACATTATATTTCAAGTTGTGATTTTGGCCAACAGATGGAACTGGCTAGTGATTTTCTTTAAAAGAAAATAAACTGAGAATAGTTCTATTTACATTAAGCTATAACCAAAAATATGTCAGGATATTCAGTGTTGGCAAAAAAAGTAATTATTTAAATATAACCGGAAACAATGGAACATTTTGTTTTAACATGTATTATTCTAGACATCAACAGAAAAGCAACAAAGCACAGTTTACTTATGAAGTCCAAATATGAGGATGCAAAAGGCAAATCATGGTGGTGTTGCATTTTCTGAAGAAATTGTAAGAGCACAAAGAGTCAAAAAATATTTTATTACTTGCCAGTGAATGACAGTGTTTGTTTAATTTCCCAACCTTGACAATGGTTAAACTTGATGCATTCTAAATGTACATATTTACAAAATGAAATGAAACCAGTTTGCTGAAATGAATGAAGACTTTAGTGTTATTCAAGTTTAAACTCTTTTTGCTAATGGCATGTTTAATGTGTTTTTATTCATTAGTGTGCTTGGTGGTGTTTTTCAGGGGGGTTTTTAAACTCAGGGAGGGGGCTTTAACCTATATGGATTGGGGAGCTTAATTGGTTATAAACTCTAAAATCTTATCCACTTATGAAAGATCTGGTTTACATTTGAGGAGCATTGGATATGAAATGTACAGAAGGATCTTAAGTTGGAAGGCAAAGGATCAGCTTGTTTGGAGTAGGAATAACTTTTATCTATAAGCCACTTCTTCAGAAAATGCATCATTCAACTGTATGCAAGTATTGAGACCCCAAAGAAATGATAATATTATGTAGTAGATAGTGAGCTTTTGTCTCCTATGTCCTAGCTGCCTGAGTCAAACATCAATCTTATGCACACAGGTGATAACAAATTGTCAACAAGCATAGCAAAATGATAATAAATGACAGTAAATGTGAAGGTCAATAAACAGTAAAGTCCTATGTGAACCATGAGAAGACAATAAAAATTTAAAAAACTATTGGTAACAGAAACATAAGGCACAGCCCTATTACTCAAACAAATTTCAAAACATAAAAATGTGGTGTCATTAAAATTGTTGAATTTTAATTTTAAAAAACAAACTATTAAGTCACCAGCATCAAAGATGTTGCCTTTCTTGATTTTGACAAGTCAAGCTTCCGGTAGTAAAAGTTAAAATGCCAAATTCAATTATTTTTAAAAAGTTTCTTTATACTCAAAATCAAAGTAAGAATGTTCATTTATTATGCAAAATGAAGTAAAATTATTCCTTACAACACCAAGTAGAGTAAAAGTGTCATGTCTAAAACAGGGATGAAACACATATCACAAAGTAAAATGTCTATTTTAACTGAAATGTAACAATGTATACCTTGTTCTCCCTTGGTAAAACAGTCTTATTTATTTACAATACAACACTTGATGGTGCCCCACTCCTCACTCCTTTTTCAGTTTAAATTACCTCTTCTGAAAATTTAAATGATATGCAAAAATACATGGAGTTTTTAAATTTTTTTCATCTTACTATTAAAATAGTTTTTAAGAAAAATGAAAGCTTTATCATTTAATTTATTGGATGCAACTCATTACAGTTAACTAGTTTGCTGCATTAAAATTATATAAAAAATATGTGTAATTTATCCTTTAAATTCTTGACTTGGGCTGAAATTAAATTGCTTCTCTCCCTACAAATAAACTATTTGCAGCCTTCACATTAAATAATTTTGTGAGATTTTTAATAAAAGATTTGGTAGTAAGAAAAAAATTAATAATTTGTATCCTTATTTTTCGTAAATAGTCATTAACTGACAGCTACCGGTATTTTAAAGAAGAAAATAAGTCTAAATAAGATACACTTGCAACTTTCACAATATTAAAAAAAAATGTATGCACATGACATAATTTTTAATGCTTTAAATATTTTCCAGTGAAATGTCTCCCCATGAGAATTGAACAAAAAGTGCTATCTTTTCTCTGCCAACAAATGAATGAATTATTTCTGTCTCTATTGTTCACTAATTCTAGGAGAATTATTTACTAAATTTTCATATTCACCACCCAACAATTTTATATCATAAGCAATTTGGCATTCATTTGTTTAAAAAAATCAAACACAGGTTGAAACTTATTCAAAATGACAAATCTATAAATAAAGTGATATTGCTTGCCTCAGCTTGAACAAGGCTGTAAACCAAAGGCACAAGATCAATTACAAATCAACAAACAAAAAATACAATAAAACCAACCTAAAAATGAACATAAACTTTTAAGTAGTCCAATATAATTTCAATTTCTATCAAACTTATATGTAGAGTTAAGAAATGCCTAGATCTAATGGTACCAAATGAAAAATAAAATGCAAAAAAAAAAACCCTGAAAAACATTGATATTGATTATCATTTGAGAAATACTTTTATGGACCCTTTTAAGAGGTATAGTCTACATCCCATCCCCAAAAAACATCCCAGATTAGTTTTAACAGCTTTGAACTTGATTCAACAGAAAAAGTTGCCATCTGAATAAAAACACATATTTTTTTTTTAAATTAAGAAGCTAACAAGACACAGACTAAAGGGTCTGTTTCTGAAATAAGTTGTTTCATGAATGGAACAGCAGATGAGTCTCAAGTTCTACTTTCAGTATTAAAAATGAATATGAAGTGGTTTATTTGTTGTCACTCCACTCTAGCGCATGCTTAAGAATTATTTTAAAAATATAATAATTTCAAGAAATGTACTTAGTTGACTAACTGGTGCAATTATTCTGGCATGATCTGACATCTAATCCTAGAATCTCTTTCGCTATTTGAATAGAATAGTGAGTACAGGGATTGACTTAAAATTTGATGACACTAACAGAAACCAAAGCTGGGGAAGGCACTGTTCTATAATGTTATTTGAAGAAGTTAAACTATATGTATATAGCTGATGTAAATGATTAAATTAATGGAAGCCAATTGCTTTAACATCAAAATAATGCACAGTTTGTTAAGCATTTTTCAAAGCTCCAAGTGTACTTTCTGAATCTAAGACTGCAGTATACTAAATTACATTTTTAAAGGATATCACCTTTCAAATCAGAAAAGATAAACTTAACCTTTCCCAATTTTTGCAAGTTTTAAAAATTTTTCTGCATCCCATCTTCATTGATAATGACACCAAATGAGTTAAAATATAAGAAACACAACTTCAAGTTACACTTAAGGCACAAGATGACATTGAAAATTTAACTGTTACTAATTTTAAAAAATGTTCCCTTATTCCACTGATTAATTAGTCCACTGATTAATTAGTCCACTGACTGTATGCATAGTCAGGGTATCTAACCTTTGTTGAGAGAAAAGATCTTATTTCAACAAGATAGAAGGTAACTATAGTAACACTAATGCAGTAAAAAAAATAAAAAATTTAAAAACAAGTTTGATTACAAAGACATTATTAATAAAAAGAACAGTCAGAGATATTTGTTTTTAAATCTATCATTTAAAATTTTTCAATATCTGAATATCTTTTAACAAACACCAATCATCCACATGAACAAAATAAGTAAATACACAAGTCTGATGACATTAGCATCAATTTTTGACCTCATGTTATCTTTTCTTTTTTTTTTTGTATTTTAAATGAACTAATAAAGAAATCTTTAATACTGTCATTGAGAGTTGAACAATGTTTTGTGTCCGCTAAAATTTTGAACAATCATGTAAACAATCTATCTGTTTTGGAATGTTGGCAAGCAATCAAATAAGCATTGCATGAATGCTGTTTCTTATTTAAAAGAAATTGTAAACCCTGTCAGTTTGTGTGTCATACAAACCAAGTTTAAACTAGACAGGGGTGATACATGTAACAGACACCATAGTTATAACGCCAAAGAATTTTGGGCTATATATGTCAGGCTAATGAATAATTAAATATTAAGTAATGTTAGTTTCTCCATGCAAATATACTATATATGCTATACTCGGCATTAAATTGATGATCAAAAGCATGTACACTCCAGTAACTAGCTACAACTTAAGACAATAACCAATATGCTAAAATTATGGTAAGCATGTTACAACAGTTGTTTTACATAATAGCCTTTTCAAACAGAAGCCTTTGTAATTGTTTATATTTTTGCACATATTCAAACAGGCATGAGTAAATCACAATTTGAAAGCTATCACATTACATATCTTTCCATTACAATAGACAAGAACCTGAATTAAAATCAAACTAAAGAAACTTGTTCAATAAAACTGCCATGTAAGAAAATGAAACAAATATTTCAACTTTAAAAAAAAAAACACTCTCTATACATATTTTGTCTGCTGAATTATTATTTATGTATTGTTTTATTCAAAAATTGTTTAAAATGTATGCCTATTGGCATGATTAATGTCATAAGCTAATTATGAGAACTTGATGTGCATGTTATCAAATATTGTAAATTAATTCTTTAATAATTTTGGGTCATATCTAATTATTACAGAAATAAATATGGAGACAAAATGTATTATTTGAGCAAGTATGTTGAAAAAGATATAGGACATATATATGTATTTATATATATATATATATATTCTTCATTTCCTGAGTTATAAACACCATATGAAACAAAACATGACAAAAAACAACATGCTATTTAGTTTATATTTCTGTGTGGCTCCTCAGATCTGCTGTGCATCATACATCACACAATCTAGTAGAATGAAATCATGTTTTAATCTTAATTTTTCACTAATTAAAACTAATTTTATGACTCCAGGTACATAAAAAATAAAAATTATATTTTTAACAAATATAAACTGAATTATTGATTACTTTATAATTTCTGTCTCAATACAAGGGATGAGAAGAGCAAAATCAAAATACATAATTACCAATGAGTGTAAAGTTTTTAGCATTACGTAACTTTTTCAATATAGTTACACTATAACTGTTAGACTGTAGAAATTTAGATATAAGAACCCCACTTGATTTTACATAGCCAAGAAAGTATGTTAACTGCTTTGTTTTTCTATCTACACAATGTATGAAAAGTATTGCATTTCTATTTACAACTATTTTATCATGAAATGTTGTTGAGTAAACCTTTTAAAAATTAAAATGGGATTTTATTTTTTCTATTTTTTATGGATGTTGCAACTTATTTATGTTTTGTTGATGAATTCAAAGAAATGAATTAATTAAGACTAGAAATGATATTTTTGGTGATGCGTCTTAATTTTTGGCATTAAGAAAGAAAAGGTAAAGAAAATATGTGTGGATTAAAGTAAAGGATATAAAATATTAATATATGAGAACTTGTTCTACGAACTATTAACGGTTTTCTTTGTTTTTTTTAATGTATTTTTAATGTCTCCCCTTCACCTAAGCCTTTTGTCTCTCTCCTTCATATTTAATTTGATGAAAAAGACAACTAAAATGAATTTAAGAGCAAGAATAAAACACAACTTGACAGTTTGTTTCCATACTAATGGGAAACTAAAATTGAACATGACAGCATTGTAGCTATTCCAGAAATGAGTTGAGAGGACTTGTTAAGTTTGTTTTCTTAATAATAATGATGTATGTCAAAGTAGGTAGCTTACAGACTTGGTTTAACACAAATTTGTATAACTGGTTCAACTTATTTTTTTTTAATGGTTAAAGTAATATCTCTTTTACAAAGTAATTATTTAATTTTCATATCATTTTATAAGATCTCATAAATAACTTTGGCAAACTATCAACTATCAATTGAAAAAAAACAAAAAATATCATACTTTTTCTTTTTAGTCTTCAATTTACATACATGTAACTATAGCCATCATAAAAATAAGTAGTATAATCACTATGTATTTAGTGTCAGAGATATCTCATGACTTGCAAATATGCCATTTTTGAAAGTCAATCTCAAATCTTTAATATTAGTTGCCATTTAGAGAAGTTGGGCAATTGTTGACAAAGATAATTTGAAACAACATAGATTTATTGGGTTCATAAATTTGTTTTAAACCAGTCCAGACGTAATATTTTAGTCTTGGATCTATGAATGGAAATTTTAAAAATTACAATTTTGGTATTCTTTAATTAGTTAATTTTACACATTAAAGAGTGTTACATGTGAGTTTCTTAAGAAGCCATGATTAAATGTTTTCTGACATTTTGTTTGTGACCATAAAATAGATGATAATCTATCAGACTGGTGTAAATGGACTTTGGACTTTTAATTCTGATGTTTATAGAAAAAATAACATTTAATAGTTAGATATTGGTCACTTTTTAGACCAAAAGGCTGGGCTTAACATAAAGTACATAAAAAAAGAGGTATTTGATAATCCTTACTCTTTTAATTGCCACTATGTCCATGGTAAACAATCATGCAAAGTTATTTAAGTCAAATAAGATTAAAACAAAAAATATCCTCACTTTTGTTATTTACATTCACCATGGGTGCCCTAAACATAACGACCTTAAAGTATAATTATAATTTATAACAGATGAACAAAGCTTACTGTTGATGTTGTAACGAGCACATATGTAATAAAAACTACAGGATACAACTCAGCAAGTGCTTGGTAATCCTTGCAGTCTTTGTGGACTGGAGTCAAGATGCAGTACTGCAACATTCCCATAATTCACCACAATTTTCATGATATGTTGTGGCACACGTATTTAGTTATTATTATGTCTTCATGAAAAAACAACACATAATGAACATCAACTTTAGTTTAGGAGTATTCTCCACACACGACAGGTTTTCACTCTCATTGTTCCATAATATACCAATCTGTCTGGTCTATATGAATTTCCTCAAGAAAAGAACAATCATCCACATTGATAATATCCAAATCTAGTTGAAAAACTAGAACCGTTTTACATAATCCATTTCTTGCTGCCACATCCAAATTCTTCAAGAATTTTTGTGTTGAAAATCCTAATTTACAAAATAATTATTTACATCTCCAGACCTTGTTCTCAACAGTTATGCCACACAGTGAACCTTAGCTATGTGTAAAAGGTCATTTTCCATATTAGAAAGCCACATAAGGAACTGCATCAAAACAATGGAAAGAATCCTGTCTTCCATTAGTGTATATGAACATGTACTAATAATGAGACCATGTCATCATCAGTGGCGCTACAGCCCATGTAGGACCCTGGCCTGCTCAATAATGAGACCATGGGTGATTTCAATCTCTCTCTTTAGGCAATAATAAAATAATACTCTATTATATAGTAAGTATCATTCATCTTTGTGTAGCCAGTAAGTAGTCAAAGTACTGGCAAAAAATGTGGGAGAACAAACATCAGCTGTAGCACTTATTAAAGTTGCTATAAAAACAGTATGCACATCTGTTGAAGAAGAGTCACCGTACTGAACAAATATTACATTCCCAAACTGTCCTTGATATGGACAGTTGAGACTTGGCCTCACTTAATATCCTTATGTTACGATTCTAATTGCCTTCTGGGGGTAAGAGAAGAATATCTTTGATGATAGAAGGAACATCTGGGCCATCTTTCTTTACATCCAACTCCACAAGCACATTGGAGTGTTCTACACTAATGGAACGCAAATCTGTCAGTCTAGCAAGGAAACGGGCGAGAGCTTTACCGCCACGACCTCGTTTAGCTGTCTCGTATGCATTCAACAATTCCACATATTCACCTTGAATTTTCTCCACTTTCTGCTTTGCCTCTAGTCCAGGCCGTTCTGTGAATGATATGAAACTAAACTGAATTATTATGTTTTAATTAAGAAGAAAATATTAAATTATACTAATATCATGATCAAAATTTATTTTTTTTTGAAAAAGGGGGACGGGCAAAGTGGAAATCTCAAAACAAGCTAAAGACTCATAAGGAGGGAAAAGTTTTAGCTTATTTTATATGCTCTTGCAAGTCAGACTAAGACAAATATAAAGTAGGAATGGCAAAGAAATAGATATCAAGAAATAAGAAAATACCTGAGAAGATGCATATAGCTGTAAACAGGGCATATTCAGCATTATCTGTCTTTATTGATGCCATATTGTGACAAAATTCATACAGAAGCTCAGCATAATGACCCAGTCCAGCAGCTTTCATGTTATCTAGGGTACATGGCTGGCCATTACCAAACACAATGGACGATGATTCTAGGTCATAACATCTGGCTGCCCTGATGGACATCACTTCAGTTGATGATGACTGAAATGGCCAACGATCATCAATTAACATTTCTCCTACAGTTTATAATAACTAACCATCTAATGATAAGCCTCATAAAAAATAAAGTAAAGCCATCTATTGTTTCTATATATTTCCTTATTATATCATCATGAATAGTCTTTGAGTGTCCCTGTCACTAAATGCACATACATTTTTTTTAGAAAGAAGGTAAAATCTGTTTAATAGAGGACACCCCCCACCCCCACCCTCCCCACACCTAAATCCCCAATTTAGACTTGTTGATGTACATACAAATAGTTGTCATTTTATAAGTTGATGGAATATCTAGAATCTAATTATTTTTAAAAGCAAGGAAACTTTCCATAGATGTTTACAGCCTCAATGTTTATTTTCTTCTAATTAAAAACCTTGATCTCCATGTTTCATTATGTATGGAACACTTACCAAAAATTGTACCAATT